GTGTCCCGGGACAAGCGAGGCGACGCATATTAATCACGGTATTAATACTCCGATCCGGCGAGAGAGCCTAAAAACCATCGCGCCACCACGTACGATAGGCGGTGTCCGCGTCTCTCTATCTGCGGGCCCCGGAAGCGGGTTTAAGACCAGACGGAAGCGAGCCTCGCCTCGTCTCACCTTCAACCTAGTGATGGGTGATTTTGAGAAAAAATCGATTTTTGAAACGAACTTGTGTGTGTGAATTAAAGTAATGGATTTATTAATAAAATCGGACTAATCGATTCCCTAAAAATCAATCCAAAAATGTCGCATGCAATAAGCATTTAAATGTGTTTCTTCTTATTTTATAAAATCAACGACAAAGTGTTTGTTTCCGTCCTATATTTATGAAATCTATATTTATGATATACTAAAAATGCTGCGTTTTAATTGATGCATTTGTAATATGTTATTAGATTTCACTAAACCCAATACAAAAACAAGTATCCGTGTATCGCTGGCTCAAGTATAATACCTACATCTATTAAATCTAAAGGAAACTTTTTACAATAAACCATTAGTTTTTAAGCTGCGTTCCCTTATTCACTGCCAGCACTAAAATCTATAGTTCATTACGTGTACTATAAATTTTCAGTACTAATAGTGCCTTTTGCAAACGCAGCTATATACTAACATAAATATCAGATTATTGAAATACTGAACAGGCTGATCCAACTGCCGATTTTAGTGAACCAATCACAGTAAGGCGGTCTCTTTCTTAACATCAATATACATATCAATAGATCGAAAATCGATTCGTACAAAAATTGATTTTTGAAGTAAAAAGATCGATTTTCTAAAAATCGTATCGAGATAGCCCATCCCTACTTTAATCATATTTCTATCATTAGAGACAACGAAATGATGCATATCGTGTTTAATTTAAATATTTGTTATTGTTTTCTACTGCTTTTTGTACTGAAAGAGAAAAATGATTTGTCTTACTGAAATTTTATAGTCTTTCTCAGAGCCAACTACACTTTCTGTTGTTTCAATAAAAAAGGTAGTAGCAGCAATAAGTAATTTACCACTAATGCTTCTTAAATTAGAATAAAAAGTGGTTAAGGGGATGCTGAAGTCGATGACGAACTCGAACAACGTCGATAACGCAGAGACGATCGTCACTAACACAATCACGCTATCTTTTTCATATTTCTTATACATATAGAACTTATGTAAATGTGTGTTACTTTGTTCTGCTATATTCAACAGAAAACCTAACCAAGCATGTGTAAATCTTTCTGTAAACTTTTTCGATCTTAAGTTTCTAAATGTAGATGATAAGATAGAGCAATATTCTTCAAAATTTTTCTGTTTGGAGCATTCACACTTTCGGTATGTGCAAACTTTTGGATTAGACAGATATTACGCTAACTGACAGCTTGAGATTTTACATTAAAAATTTTTTGTTCGTTTTCGTCACATATCGAACAATGCTCCTATTTATTTTTGCACATACTTTTATTGCGTAAAAGAATTTGTAATTCTGTGTAACCAATACGACGTAAACTTTACAGAAAAATGTCAGTGTTCTGTCGGTAAAGTTATTAGCTTCAACATCCCCTTAATTTCGCTGAAATTATAGTCATTTTCGGAGTTTTTTGTTGTTCCAATAAAAAAGTAATAGCAGCAATAAGTAAGTTACGATTATTATCACTAATATTACAATAGCACTTGCTACAAAAGTGATTTCCCTGACTATAACTATTCCATAAGGAAATTGTAGTTGTAAATGTCAAATACTTTTTCCTCAGTGTACCACTTTAATTATCTAATCTCGCGTTTGTAAAATAACTCATTTGTTTTGAGTAGATGAAATCATCGATAAACTTCTGGAAGTCTCTAATAGAAGACATACCCTCGACAGAACTTTCAATTCAACGAAAGGAGAGTGTATTCCTTTCTCCTGTCGAAAATCTCGGATAGCGCATGCAGGTCCACGATTTCGAGCACGATTTAAATCTCTATACGACGGTTCCTTGGAGGAACGAGGACGTGACATCGCGACGAGTCGCCACTCGGCGCGGCGCTTCCTCACGTTTCTTCGGGGGATGAAGGGGCCCTCTGTAGAATTTGAAGACGGCGTGTCGCCGTCTTACGTTAGAAAGACGATATTGCATAAAAGTGTCTATTGATTTGAAATACGGCGCAGCGGAAAAAGGAGAAGAGCAAGCAAGAAGAGGACGACGACGACGTCCTCTCCTCGTCCTCGTCGTCCTCGTCGTCGCGAGGGTATGCAAGAGGCGTCGCTGCGTCGAGCGAAAGCCGGTGGAGACAGAGAGAAACGGTGTAATAAAGCGAGCCGTGAGCGAAGCACGCACAGGAGGCAACGGCTACCGTTACAGTTACGGCTTTCTTCGATTTCAAGGGGTCGGCAGATCGGGCTGCTTACGTAATACTCGTCGGTTCGTCGCTTCGTTATAAGGACGCGACGAAGTCGGAGTAATCGCGTTTCCGTGTCTGGCGCGCGCGCCCGCTCGCTCGCTCACAGAACAAAAGCAGTCTCTCCCGGAATAAATTAAACACGTAATTAAATCTCAGGATGAGACACGCGGGACAGCAGTTGATATCACGTTACGATCATTAAACTCGTCCCCCGCTTTTTTTCCCGATGAGTGCTTGATCTTCGTCTCGTCGTTGATTTCCGCTGAAGAAGATGGTCGCTCGACCGCTGTTCTCGATCTAATTTGAGTGAAACGCTCGTTACGACATCTCGTTTTCGCGAATATTAAGTAGCGTGAATTCGTCTCCGCAAGGAAATTCACAGAGGATTCACATCCGTCGCGATAATCCCAGAACAACCGGATTCATCGAATTTTAACTCTGACATTTTCGATCCCAATCGATATTCAATTTTAAATTTCGCGCAAGCTAGTGGAACGAGAAATTTTACTTCCTACGCTAAAGAAAATTATAACTATAGGGAATGTTAGGTTTAAACATTAAGCGATTTCAATTACCTGTCATATAAAAAGAAGATCAAGATGCTTTGGGGTCGTTTCAGTGTACCACATGCCAAAGTGTAAAATAAAAATGATTTTTCGTCATATCTCGGTTCTTTATAGTAAACATAAGAAGTGTTTTATATAAGTAGTTTATTTATTTTCGACTATATATTATGTGACCATAGTTTCTGTACTGTCAGAATCTAATCATAAACAAAAAAAATTAGGTATAAATAATCTTTAGAATAATCTTCATAAAATTATGTCGCATTATGTGATAAATTCATGCCGTAAAAATTTGGAACTATTAATTATTTCATTTGTTTTTGACTGAAAAAATATGATATACTTTCGCATAATCAAATAATAACTTTTTGTAAAATTGAGATATGTACTATTTTTTCCCTTAAAGTTTCAAGTATCCACAAAAGAATCTTAAAGTATTAATTTCTTAAATTCATTTCCAGAAAAGTCAACAATTTTTATATAATCTCACATCGCGTCTCTTTATATTTGCAATAAGATAAAAGACAAATCATTTCTTATAATTATGCGATTATTTCTTATAATTATATATAAATCTATTCCACAGACTTTTTAAAGTATATTCATAATTTCTCGTAGATTTTTATCAGCGCTCTTACGGGATTTAAATAAACAAGAACAAAACAACCCTAATGTAGATCAAAATGCCAAAAAGACATGCTATGTAAGGATTAATTGTCACGAATTCGTCTCCGCGGGAATTCCTCGAGGAAATCGCGGTGATCGCGGAACCTTCGCGGCGAATCTTAATCGAATCCCGCACGTGCTCGTTCAGTCCTTCCCTCCTTTGCCTCTTAAACACCGAGAAGAAAAATACACGCGCGCCCATCGAGTGGTGGAACGACCGTAATTGAGGCGGAAAAACGCGATGTCCGGTGGAATCCGTAATATTATTCGCGTGACGGGGCGAAGTAGGTGTGGTGAAAGCCAGGGTTGATGAACCCGTTGCACGTTATATCCGCGTAATGAGACACTTTCGAGGCGTGTAAGAAGCGACGTTTTGTCCCTCTCTGTAACAAAATGCATCTGTGGCTGGGTGGGACACCAAGTCAAGCAATCAGGTACGCGCCGTGGCCACCGGCTGGCCAGACGGCTCGTCGGTAATTGGCCAGTAATTGTGTTTACTAATTGAAATTACGACCTTACTGGTTACACGTAACACGACCTCTTCTCCCCCTCTCAACGATATTGGAAAATTCGTCACGACGTGCTTGCCATTGAAGAAATTCAGCGAGTCGAAGTCTTTGCGGGAAGTGACGCTCGATTTGCGGGAAGTCGCTCCTCGAGCGACGCGCTTGATGGACAATTAGCCCCGTTAGTCGCGGCGTGTAACTCGAAAAAAACAATCGTGCAAACGCGAAAGTCAAAGAAAGGGCAGAAAGGTTTATAAGAGCCAATACACAGATATGATAATGTGATATAATTAACTAAAACTATTCCAGTTAATGTATGTCCTCCAGATGTGTAGAGGAAGTATTTATCTTATAAAAAATTAAAGAATACGTCTTGGCCCTTCAATGAACCCTCTTTAGTGTAACTGAAGTAATGTACAAAGCAATGTCAAAGAGATACATAAGATTGAATAAAAGGAGTCAAATATTAAAAGACGATAAAGCAAGTTCGTATCTAGCGATACGTCGATACTTCGTGTGTTACGAACAAAAAATATAAATTACAAAATATTGAAATAGACTCTCTTAGATATTCAATCACTAAGACAAATTAAAGTCAAAACGCCGATGGAAAAGCAGATAACAGCAATAGTAGGTAAAAGTTTAACTATATTTATTAATTTTACAAATGTTTTGGCCTTATGTTCGGATCCTCTTCAGTGTGAGGAGATTGATTACATGAATAATTAGCGCAATGTTGATGTAACTTCCACACAAAAAAAAAGATTTGCTAATATATGGACAACTAAAAATACTAGCTGCAGAAGCTATAATATATATATTAGCAAATCTTTTAGCTATCACAACTAAGTAACTTTGCTATAAAACCAAGAAAATTTGCTCCTGCAGCTAATATTTTTAGTTGTCCAATTTTTAGTTGTATTAATTGGAACAACAGTATAATTTCCAACTGGTCATGTTTATAACTGTATCTATGAACCGTTCAACATAAGAAAGAAAATAGATAAAAGTAATATATCAAATAATAGGAAGTCTCTCAATGATAAGATAGTAGTTCTTATTTAATCCCAGAATGTCCTCTGGTAAATTTAGACTTTTCGTTGGTCGCTTTTGTTGAGAAAGATTTCAAAACGTACTTCTTTTAATATATATAGGATATTAAAATATAAAACTATATATTATAAACTAATAAAATACTCAGTTGTTGCCGTCTCGGTGAAAAAACATCGCCTCAACTGTCCACAAATGTTACTCACAATTCACGTTACGAACGCGACAGTCGTAATTGAGAATTAAGAAGCAGAATCACGAACCTGAAAACCGCGATTTCACCGAATAAAATGTACTGTATTGGCGGAATACGAATAATAAAAGAGAGCGACGTCGTGTATATTTTTTTTTTATTTCCCGCTGAAAATGTACTTCTCCCGGCCGTCTTCGTCGAAGGGCGTTTAATTTGTTCAAGAAGGACTTTACATTATATCGTCGCTTTTACACATTTGTAAAGTGATCCGCGGGCGCGATCGCGGTGCAGCGATTTCTATTCCGATCACGTACGGAGCTTCGACCAATAAAACTTTGTCGACTTCCAGAGACTGCGCAGACGATTTCTACGTTCCTGAGGGAGAATAAGGAATCCTCCTTGAATAGGAATCGAAGCGATCGTGAAAGAGCATGCCAAAATTCATTTTATCGCGCTACTATCGCTTAACGCTCCGCTTCGTTTCGCCTCCGTGAAATTTGAATTCTAATTTGGAGAGACGCGGCGTGTCAACATTGAACCCAGAAGCCTAAACATTGCTAAAATTTATCCAGGCCAACTTTTTGAACGTTACCGTTCTTACAACGGGATTGATGCCTCGGCCTTAGAGAGTTCAGTGAGGGTTTATAATTACGAGGATTTCCTTATGACTCAGACAACTGTATCGAGAAGCGGATAATTGATTCATTATTATATTAGTTCTAATAAAGCAAAATTATTCTGTCAACTTATTATTTATGTATATTATCGGTAAAAATTTATATGAGATAGAAATACACTGATTGTACAACTATATGTGTTCGCAAGAATCTACTATCTACAAGATAAGTAAATTCTTGGTGAATCAATCGGAAAACCTCGTATAATTCTTGAACGGTCACACATCAGTGAGTTATCTAATCATGTGTACGGCTATTAATTGCGTCGCTAATTGAAGCGTATAAATTATCGCAAGCAACCTCGCGACAGGATTTCTTGCAAGAAGAATGGTCAATGGACATAGCTCCACGACCATAGTTACAACTTGCAAAAGGAAGATTAGATCCTTTTATCGGACTTCAATGTCTTTCTGTAATAGAATAAAAAGCGAGAGAGGGGCGGGAAATCGTGAAAAGATTGCTGCAACTTCGCCGATACTGGGTAGGATAGATCTGTAATTTTGCGAATTCTTAATTATTTCCAGTGGCTACTTTTACAGCCAGGCGGGCTGTCTGGCTGATTCTTTTTAGTCGATTGGTTGGTCGGTTGGTCGGTTGGTTGGTTGGTCGGTCGGTCGGTCGGGCCGATACCGTGGCGCGACACAATCTCGTGCCTGTAATTGGAAAAGGTTGCAGAGGTCGCAGTTGTGTGTCTCTTTGCTGCGAGACAGTGGCAGAAGAGAGAGAGAAAGAGTCCAATATCCCCACCAGTTGTTCTTGGTAAATAAAATTTCGTCTCGCTAACGTAACTGTCGCCCCACCGCTGCTTGATTCCGTCTCTTTTATATTAATGGCACAAACAAACGCAACGGGAATATTTCCTCCGAGTCACATGCCGGTAATTTCTCTCGCAAAAGATGTAAACATCAGGTCAGATAATGCATTCTTTCCAATCACAATGAGCCGCGCGACGATATCTTGTATCTCCATGTGTGTCGCAATTTTTCACGCGCGCGATCACGTCGCGAATGTGGCGACGCAGTCTTATTAAAAATTGCGCAGTTGCGTTGATATGCACTCACCGGTCGGGAAAACTCGCCAAGAGGAAACGCCATGTGTGTCACCTGGAACATACAAGAGTACGACGCGAGTGAGACGATGTGTGTGGGGTTCGAGTGGTAGGAATACATAACGTCATATGTACGCAATGATACTGGGTAATCCTAATAAAAGAGGAGAGACAGAGAGAAAGACTGGAGTAGAGAGAGAAAAGAAAGCAATACACGGAAAGTTTATCGCTTGTCTACGGCGACGCAAAGTTTTCCTGGAACACGGCGCTTCCGACATTAATGACTTAAGTTAATATCGCGCGAGCATGATGCATTTTGGCTGCGAGCCTCGTAATATGTATCTCGTCGTTACGTCGCCGACACGGGCGCGCATATACGCGCGCGAAAACGATATTTCACACACAGTTTGATGAGCTCCCCGCATTAAGCCGGGGGTAAGTAATTATCGACTGAGCAGTGACCAGGATGGCCGGGCTCGGCCACTCCCTACTGGGGTGTCCCAGTGCGTGTCACCGCATTAACCACCCCTATACGGACATCGTTCTCATCAAAGTTCAAACGCTGCATATCTCCGATACGTCATTGTAACCTCTGCACGGCTTAATTAACGAGTAGCCGGATGTAGTAGCATCGTGGACAAGAATTAGTTTACTTCTCGATGTCCATGCCGTCTTCGGAAATCACGTCACGGTTCGATAAAAAGGAAAAAAAGATCTGCATATACTAGGCAGGTATACGTAAATTTTACAGCTACTTTGTTAGTTGATCTGTAGAAGTTGTGTTACTTACGAGTAACGCATATGTCACTCGTATCTATCGTGTAGAATGATGAGACAGAAATGTGAAAAAAATAATCGAAATTTACTTTTAAATTAAAATTACATGTCACTAATTAATGTTATGTCAAATGTAATATGAAATTCTGGTTGTAATTTTTAGTAAGTCTGTAGTTGCATCAATATATTCGTAGTAATGATTAATTCTACGAAATGGGACAATTTCGTTGACTTTAATTTACATGCTCGGCAAACTTTTTGCATCACACATACACACACAATCTAACAAAATGACAAAATAAAAACACTAAAAATCCTATCAAAAAAATTTAATGTAAACAATATGTCGTATAAAACGTAATATGAAAATTTAAACTTTTAGTAAATTTGTTGTTGCGTTAATATAAAAAAGAAATCTCATATTATACGATTCAATACAGTATATTTGTCTCATAAATGTAATTTAAAAATTAACTTAAAATTAATTTAAAAATAAATTTTCTATTAACACGATTGTTTCATATTAATTGTGAAAAACTATTTGAGTATTTTATTATGTTCTAAGATAAAAATCCTGTACAACAATTAATATGATTACAAAATAAGAAATTATTTTATAAAGATATATGACCGAAATCAGGGTTTAAAGTTCAATCCATCTAGATTGTGTTTAATCGCAGCATAAAGTTATTGACTTCAGATTTTTTCAGATTTTCTAAAATAAAATATATCATAAAGTAGAATGTAACATTCACTTATTAACATCTCTCTTAATCATTGAAACTTTTAAAAATTTAGGTTTTCTTGCAATCAATTATATGAAGTGCAATATGAAAATCTGAGCTTTTAATAAATATGTAGCTGCATCAATATAATAGAAAATTTACATTATTGTACAATCAATTAATTAAAAGTTGCAAATATTTTACTAAAAGTTACATTCAGATTTTCATGCAACATTTTACAAGGCATATTGTTTGGAAACAATTCTGATATTTTCTCCTATATTTCTATTCCTCCCTTTATTTAATAAATGTGAACGTCATATAGGCCACTTATAAAGACGCAACCTTTACAAATGAGCTAGTAAATATTTATTCTAATGCGGAGCCTGTGATATTACAAATTTTGTAAAACTGATAAATATATGCAAATAATAACTGCAATTTGGCTCTTATTATCCATTATCTAATACAATTAAATTTCAATAAAAAAGCCTTATTTTGTAAATTAATATATCTGAATCAACTAGAGTTTCTATCAAATTTACATGCGTTAAAATGTCTCATAAATGTAAAAAAAAGGTTCAGAATTTCATTATTTGTGATATGTTGTGATAATCATGAAAGTTTATCTGTGGAGAGACAAAGAAAAAAAAAAGGAGAAAAGAGAGAAACACAAAGAGAAAGAGAGAGAGAGAGAGAGAGGGGAGAGAGAGAGAGAGAGAGAGAGAGAGAGAGCAATGACTTCGTTAAACTTAATTAATAAGCAACTCGATAAATTTGTTGCGCACGCATGCGAACGATATATTTTATCGCGTTAATGACGATATGTTAATAGCTCCACGCGAGATATCGTTTACGCCGAGCGGCGTAACTTACGACAGCGACGATAAGCGACAGCTTCTAGATTAATTACGCGGATTAATTGGATTACTTTGCGAGAAATGGATATATCACGGTGAATATTTTTAGCGCCCGGACAGTACTTCAATTAATGTTAACGCGGACAAAATGCGGAGTATCTTTTTCCATATCGCGTACGTTCGCGCAATCGTTTGTCAGGATTACATTGTCAGGATCGCGGTAATTAAATACAATATTTGAATCATTTTCATTAACAGAATCTTTGGGGACGGGACTGGTGGACGTAGCAATATCAATTTAATTAAAAAGATTTCGCTATATATATATATATATATATATATATATATATATATATATATATATATATATATATATATATATACACACACACAAACGTAGCGAGCGCGTACGAAAGGAGGAAAAAATTAACGCACAAAACTCTGCAGGGGTTGTGCGCGTACGCGCACGAAACGCTAATTCGTGCTAATAACCGCGTGCAATTAATAAAATTGAATACACGAAAATTCCGGATAAAGGCGCCGTTACATGAAGTTGCATGAAAATGTTATTTCACCGGTAATGTTATTTCATCTCGGTAGGTTATCATAACATCAATAAAACATTATAAACATTAATTTCCCTTCGGAAAATTACGTTCTGGTTAAAACGTCGAATTTGACGCTACGTAAATTTTCGATTATGCAATGTCAATGCATATAAATCTTCGGTGGAAAAACTCTTCAAGTTACATTAAAAAAAGAATACTGACATTGATTATTCGCGTCCGATGATTCCCACGTGGGAGCGTTCGCGTATGCATGCATATATGCGACAAATTGTGTCATTAAATATATTTTCCATATTACACGCGCGCTCGTTCTTTGATATTGTGCACATTAATCTATTCTGTTTCCTTAAACCGACGCGAGTGCATTTTGTAAATAACTCGTAATTCAACAAATTCAACAAATAATATTTGCACTTGGGAAAAAGAAAGAAAAAAAGAATTTTAATGTCATTAAAATAGCCATTTCCGACATTAACTATCTTCACTAATAATCTACTTTTTATCCTAAACAAAAAGACAATACATGTATATACAAGATTATTATTTTATTACTATAATAATATAAACAGAAAAATATCCTGCCTATAACTATAATTCGCTCCCTATGCGATTATATAGTTACGAATACCAAACGTCTTTCTCTCAACGCAATGGAAAGAACATGGAGAGCAAGAGGGAGAAAGAGGGGAAAAAAATATAGGAAGTTTCTCGCGCTTATCGTACATAGCGCTAATCGGAAATCAATGAACATTCGGCCGTGTTAATGTTGTTTAATGAAGTCTTGCAGGAGGAAAACAAACTTCCGAGGCTGGCGAGAGGCGCGATTAGTCGTGGGTGTAAGAGAATAAGAGATCGCGGCGGGAGCCATATTGGGACCGTTTCACCGATTTGGCCGGTAACCTTGTTAAACTTGGAGGGAAGAGCACTCCTTTCTCCCTCGTGGCTCGCAATCAGTCGATTCTCGACGGCGCAGCTGTGAGCGTCCGAAGCTTCCTCTCGAATTACCACCGAGAACGGTCCCCGAGTCCCGCGGCCAAAGTCAACCATGTCTCCACTCTTCCCTCGTCCTCCGCGGAAAAAGAGAAAGGTTAAAGAACAATCAACTCGGGATTGAGAGCTCGCGTGTCTTCCTCCCGGGAGTTTCGCGACGGTTCATAAGCCGAGTTCCGCAGACGGTCCGCATTAATTAAATTCAGGCCGGCGATCAAGCGGCTCGCTCGTTCCGGAGAGATCGCACGCTCGCTCGCTAGCTCGCTCGCTCATTGCCGAGACACTGTCTTTCACCCTCTTTTTCCTTCAGCTTCGCGTCGAATTTACGTCGACATCGAAATACGAATACGTTCAAATAGATAGTTGCACGTAATTTTGATAGCTTGTATACATGAACATATCTACCTTTCACAGTTGTTACTCAAATCTTTTGCTTTTCTAAATTGATGAGTCTGCCATATACTGAAAATGAATATTTTACAAAGATTAACAAGGACTCCTACGCAAGACTGGCAAAAGTGTTAGACATATTCGTTTTGCAGAAAAATCTATAGGAAAGAATTAAAATAAGTTCAAATAATACATTTCATAAAACTTATCTTTGACAGTATATTTGTAAGCTTCGCCCCCTATCCCGCAAATGCTTAATTTAATTTAACCCAATATATATTATCATAAGTACAATTATTATTTTATCATTATCTTTGTTTATTTTTAATTGCGCCAAAAAACTTCCTGGATGTGTTCATTTGGAAGTATTTGAGATTATTTCATCAAAATTTTTTTACGAGAATCGAAGGGTGGGCTATTCCGGAACTACAAACAATTTGAGTGTCATATGAACTATCTTTTAGGAACGCAACCTTTGCAAGTGGACTTACTTTAATTCTTTTATCTGAGGAAATTCTTTTTTTTCAGTTATCTGCGAGAGTAACAACTCCGGGTTAAACTTAGTCTATTAATAAATGTACACATTATAATGAAGGCACGAACAAAATTTAGTTATATCCTTTCATTGTCTTACAATTATATTCTAAGGTTGTATTCAGAAATATCGTTAATATTTAAGAAAAAAGTCCAGAATATCATTTACTTTAGCGACTCTTTAGATTTATGAAATTGTTGAAAGATTGT